AGATTTATAGCTCTTTAAGAGTCAAGAATGATGAGTGAATAAATTTGACTACATTCCTTTCTATTTTTTGTGAAAATTCTATTGTTTATTGATAATCCCCGTAACATCCCCCAGCACTTAATGCTCTTCAGCAGTCTTCCTGCTAGCAAAAAGATGCAGTGACTATACTGCCTTAATCTTCCATGTACCTCTGGACTTTTTCATAAGCTTTATACTCTTCAGTAATCCCACTGAAAATCAGTTGCTTTGCTCACATATAGACCTATACAGTAAAAACAGAAATTGCACAGGCTAGGCAGAATATAAGATTCCTTTTCAGAGGATTTGTAGCTCAAGTGACTGCATATGGTTTCTATCCAAGACCAATCAGTCGCAATCAGACAAGCCAGTAAATAATAAAATAGCTTTTCAACCTAGAAATATCACAGATCTTCACAGTGAGACTATAAGGAGCAATTTATCATGAATATTTTTGGGATGATGATTATGAACAGTGTAGAGCAGGGCCTCCTCACACCCTCATTAACAGGTAAGAATCAACGACATCAACAACAAATAGCATCTAAGAGCAGATTTAAAACTTACGCAAAAATAACTCCTTTCACCATGGAATTACCCTGTGAAACTCACTACCACATATTAGCAGAGATCAAAATAATCAGGTTAAAAAAAAAAAAGATTCAACACAGAGTTTACCTAGCATTCCTTTATGTCCTTTATTGTGGAATAATTAGGGCGTAAAGAGGGTTTCCTGATTTAGGTGAAAAATAGTGGGGAGGAAGAGGGTTACAGCACCGGATTGTATTGATTTGTACTGTGACCTAGCCAAAAGGGGCAGTGTTTGTAGAGGTTAGCAAAATCCACAATAACAGCAGCAAATACAATATTATCTCCCTGTGGAATAATACCACATTCAATTGTTCTTTTCTTTTTGTTTCAGTGTTTTTTCATATTTTTTTTCTTTCTCAACGTCTTATTTTACTCTTATCATGCTTTTTCATGCTGAAGTGTCTTGGCAATTAAAAAACTACATCAGCAAGATGTACTTTTAAACAGTATGTAGTATTTCTTGTGATAGATTGTCATGGACTTGCTAGACAGGCTATATTTCTATGCGGCACCCTTCTCTTCTGTCCTGAAGGTTTGCAAATCCTTTATCTGAATCACAGCTGAACTGATTACCAGCCTATTTTCCATTGTTCTTACATTTTTTTTCTTTTAAAATTCTTTTAAAATATTCGTATATATATTACTCTGCAATCTTGTCAGCCGGTCTCCTAAAAGTCTAAAAATATAATATTCTTGAGGTATCTTCCAGTGCATCCTCAGTTTTTCCTCAGATGTTATGCTTATTGCTTCAAGAACAAAGTCTTTATCCAGGTAGCAATTTCTAATTATTTAGCCCAAACATACGTATTTTAATGTTAAGAACTTTGGAAGACAATGAAAAACATTGTGCTCTCATTCAATTTTATATTTTCAGTGGTATTTTTTTAATTAACATTCAATAAATGTTTACAATGGATGACAATAATAGGCAAAGGAACATGGATTGACACATTCATGACTGTTGTTATACAAGTACAGGAAATTGCACAGAGTGGTATAATTGTCACCACAGTGAAGAGCCAGCACAAAGAAAGATTTTAGACATTCTTGTAGTGAAGGGAAATGAAGTAGAAGTATATTGAAATGGGATCATGGACAAATTAATGCAACAGCATGTATTACTGTATTTTTTTCTTTCTTTTGACTCCTGCTGTGCTCTCCAGTGATGCCTTTGGGAACACAAGCAGCTGTAGCAAGTGCTGAATGGGGGAAGGGGAACGTCTCTCCCTCGCCACTGAGATAAGCATGCCTAGCTCCATTTGCCCCATTATACACCATTCCCAGGGGTTGTTTGCTTTCAATAGCACAAGAAGAGACAGGGAGCAAGAGAATGCAGGATGGCAGGAAAATACAAAATAATTTTCTGAAGGGCTCCGTGTCAGTGAGGTCTTCCAAAGACCCCAGATTGCATTAAATGCTTTGGAAAAGTGAATGGTAATATTTCAGAGGAAGTGAGTGGGAGACAGACTGGAAAATCCCTTCTCAGTCCTTGGTTCTGGGTTCTTGAAATTTTGGCACTGATCTTTTATAAAAAGCTGGCTCAAACCTGGCTGGAAAACAAGATCTCAATCTTGTGAAAAGTGTCAAGATTTTAGTTCTGCACTGGAAATAAAACTAGACCTTGGGTCTTTGGAGGGTTATCAGCTTGTGGTTTGGAGGATTTTAGTTTTGGGGAAAGGAAAAAGCAAGAAAGATTTCACCTGTTCTCACCTCTCTCTGTCAGCCCTCCTCTGTCACTTTGACTCCCTTTCTCCAGAGAATGGCTCATAGACTTATGATATTTAACTACAATAAGGGTGACCCTGGTTTGAATTCCTGTTCTGCCTGACCAGATTTGATCTAATCCTCAGGGTATCAGCAGTCGCAGAAGGGCCTGGCTGATAATTTCCTGAGGTCCCATGCTGAACCTACGACAAACCCCTGACTTTATTCCACCGACGTGGGTATGGCTTTGTGGAAAGTTGCCATTTCACTCAGCCAGCATTTCCTCACTGCAGGAAAAAAAAGTATCTGTCCAGCTCTAATCAGCTGTAATGAGTAAGGGAGTCATACTGACTTTTGGTATTTCACAGCTACAAATGAAAGCAGATTTTATGTAAGATAACCATCATTTTATATTAAAAATATGTATATAAAAAATAATTTAATGAATTACCCAGATCCTGATTTCTTTTTGTCTTTTTTCTTCTTGTTGGCCTTCTCTTTTTTCCCTTTCTTATCAGGCTTTTGGTCCTGTTTCTTCTCATTTTTGCCTTTCCCACTTTTACCCCCTTTCTCATCTTCCTCGTCTTCATCATCTTCCTTGGATTTCTGATTTGCCTGGTTCTTCCTGGCTTTTGCAGGGTCCCCATCAGAATCACTGCCCTCATTTCCAGCTGCTCGTCCCCGTCCTCTACGGTTTCTGTGCCTGCGATGCCCAGCTCTCCTTGTCCCGTCTTCGTCATCCTCATCCTCCTCACCACTACACCTGGCTCTCCCTCTGGCATGTCCCCTTCTGGTTCTCGGTGTTGCTCTCTTGCCCCCTTTGTCTATCATGGAGGGAAAAAACCACATGAGAGAAGGCAGTATGTTAGAGGGAGACTTTCCTCCTCCTTCATTCATACAGATAATCAGAAAACATCTGAGTGTGGCCTAAAAGTTATCCACGCTACTGACCTGTTTCTTTGACACTTTCTTCATTCTCAGCTGCACTGCCATCTTCATTGTCAACATCACTGCCATCTGTGGAGTGAAAACAAAGGCCAGTGCATATGAAGTGTGAATCATTCGTTAGGAATTCACGGGTTTTAAGAAATTCTTGGCAATTACTGCATTGCACTCTCTTACACCATTTCACAAACCCAGCTTTTGGGAACATGACAAATAGTTTTCAAGAAGTAAGATGAAGATAGAAAAAGTAGTTACGCTTTCCTTCAGCACTCAAATAAGTAAGCCCCAAAGTGATGCCATGAAGAACTCCCTCTCATGGAAGAAATATGTAGGACAGGAGGACCCTCAAAAAGAAACACAATAGCAATATCCTACAATTTGAGGAAAAGAACAAGGAAGATGAAAATGCTTCTCAGGCAATTCTCAGAGATTTTCTAAAACATATGAAAGATAATCACGGGCTGAGATTAAAGAAAATTAAAATAATCATTTTCTGATTTGACTGACTGGAGGGCATGAGGCTTCATAATTGTAGCATGGCTGAAGAGTGCAATCCCAGAAAAAAGAGGAGATGTACTCTCAGTTCCAGCAACCAAATCTCTAAGCATAGTGACAAAAGTTGACCCAGCTCGCTCATATGCTATACCACAGTCCTCTTCTACCACTCAGGAGATGATAAAAGCATTGGAGACTCTACAGAGAGAGACTATTTACAGGAGCAAGTAGTATCTCTGCTCAGAAACATCTTTGGTTTGGGCGGGATCTCTTGTTTAAGTTTTTTAGTCTCAATAAGTTCAATAAGAGATGCTGTCTCTGCTACCCATCAATAACCAGGAAAGTATCCAATTCATTTGCCTGGTACACTCTGAAACTGGGATCATGCATATGTAAAGAAGAAAGAAAAATACTCCTCTCTTTCATACACATTATATCCATCATAATATTTAATTAATACGCTCTCTGCAAATATTGGTATGAACATATTATTTAATGGGTCACTCCTGAAACTGCTAGTGGTATTCACCAGCAATGTTTCTTCAGAAGCAATCCAACTAATAGCTGAGAAGCCAGGAGTTAATAGGCTCTTTTGAGGTATCTTTAAGACACATCAGTGAAATTATAGAAATATGTGGTAGTAGGAGATTAATGAGAAAACTAAGAAATATTATTATGAATAGAAATAGGCAGCTGTCATTCCACTCCTATATACCATGTATGTTCCAGATGTATGTTGTCTAATTTTCCTTCTGTACAGACAGGACAGGTGACATGTCATGATCATGTCATAGTTGCATTTTTCAGGCAAGGAGAAACTACAGTTATCTTTCTTCTTCACTCATCTGTAATACTTTTGAATTTTTCTTTATATTCTTTATATTCTTCTTTATATTCTTTTCTTTATATTCTGTCTTTTTTCACCCATGCCCTAGTTCCCTAGTTCCTTTTATAAATTTTACTAAGCCACTAATGATTCATCAAAAATTTAGACACAAATTGATTTATCTAGGGACTGCTGTAGCTAACTATCAGGCACAACTTCGTAGCTTTACCCACTACCAGGGTCTTGTTTCACTGTGTGCAATGATGGGCAAAGGGTTATTATCCAGAATTTGACAGAAATTTTAAAACTGGGACATATGCTGGGAGTCTAAGTTCCCTCCACAAAACATTTCATTGTAATTACATTTTCTATCATTTCCACAGCATCTGCACAATATTTTTTTTAAGACTATGCAAAATGTTATCAGTGGAATGTGAAAATAAGCGCTCCTTTGTTCTGTTCGGACATATGCCTTCTGCTGCTGACAGTAACAGGATCTCCATTTGACAAAGATCATTACATTGCTATTAAAAGCTTGCAAAGATGAAGACAGACACTTCTAAAGAGACACTTTGCATGCAACAATAGGGCACAGTCTTTTATTGCAGCTAATGCTTTTGCTGATCTCCTCCAGCCAAACAGAAATTCCCAGGGAAGCACTTTAATGGTACAAGATTGGCCTCACTGCAGATTCTGATGAATGCACACAACAAGCAAACAGGTTTATCACATATACTGAAACATGCATTAGCAGTGAAAGTGTATCGTGCTCGAGCTGACATCATATCGACATAGTAGTGAAAGTGACAATGGACTATGCAACACAGAGGCTTAAGCAGGGCAGAAGGTAGCTGTTGGGGTTTAATTAATTCTAATAGCATAAAGGTAACAAATGCACTAGTCTGAATCCAACATTTCAGGTAAAATAAAGTGTTAAACTAATTAATAGATTTCAGGCTGCTTGAAGAAATTACTGGGAACAATGCTAGAGAGTATCTGAATAGTGACTCCTGCATGTTTGTCTTTTTTCATCTAAATGGTCAAGCACATGAGAGATATAGAAAAGGTTTTTAAAGAAATTAAGAAAAAGCATAAAATCAAACAGAAGCATATAAAGCCTAGAAAAAATGAGCAGTGATTACATGAAATTATGCAGCTAGAAGAATAGTGGGTACTACAGACATACCCAAAGAGCATAAATGCAGCTTCAAAAGTTATTTCTGCAAAAATTTAAAATTACAGCTCCAAACTGAACTTCAGAACATTCCTGCCTCCACAGCCCCATGCTCATAACGAGATGAAACGTGTTAATATGATGAATGTTGGGGGTTTGTCCTTCTCATTCTGGTGAGAATAACAGATCTCTCCAAGGTCTTGGGGTATGAAAGCATTGTACAAGAATTTATTTTTAAAAGAAGCTGGAAGCCAAAGAGGACCCTCTGATTCTCCAGTTTCCTCGCACTCTTCTTTATGTCATGAGCTATGTCACTAGCATAAAAGCTGAAGTTCAGGGTAGAACCAAAAGTTATTCACTTGTATCAGCCATGATAGCAGTTGGTGCTGTTTAGGAGGAACAAAGTCACTGAGAAGGAGGGATGAAGGACCTTTACCACCCCTGAGGTCTGTCCTGAACAGCATATATGCATGCATTCATGTAAGATACATAGCCAGCCCACACCACACCCACATTACAGCTATCCCTGGAGAATTGTAATTCAGACAAGCTGTATTAATAATTGTCTTTTTGTGTTTGGGGGTTTTGCATATGTCATTAAAAGACCAATGTTGTTAGTTGGTTGGGTATTTGAGCAATAAGAGAGATAAATAATCATTACAATGTTTAACATTATTTTTATTATTAGAAAGCTGTTTCAGGTCATTAACTCTGTAATACTTTTTAAAGAAGAAAGCAAGAAGCTAGGCAGCTCATAACTCAGCACTTTAGCTGCTTGTGGCAAAACCTGTCTTACTGAATTATTGGAGAAGCACTTCAATGATACACAAATTACATTTTATCGTGACACTAAATCTAAATGCAGTTTAGCACTAAATTTAAATGTTGTTCTATAAACCACAATATAGAGAAACAGTAGAGTGCATTCCTCAGGCACTGTATTATCATCCTATAGGAAAACTGAAGAGCATTTTTGATACTCTGGTTTGTTAAAATAGAAATGCATAATCTTTGATGCAGGAACAAAATCATCACTATGTGTGATCCTTTTAGGTCTATATACTTGTCTTCTGCTTTTTTAAACAGATCTTCATCTAATCCCACTTATCAAAAGTTTAGTGAATCCTCCACTAAAAACTAAGTCTCACTAAAGCACCGTCTAGAATTACTCATTGTTACAGAAAAGGATTGATAGGATCTCATTTCTTCACAGTATTAGTATTCATAGGGCTAATATCAGTTTATTAGGCTTTGAGTCAGCTAACTTGAGTTTATGTTACCAAAAGCAAATTATTGCTCAGCTGTGACGTCTTCCAGGATACATCATCCTGCCCTAAGGATACACATATCATTAGGTATATTGGCAGCTATATTACATAACTCCTCATGCTCTAGGAAATGCAATCACTTTCTGAATTTTTTTTTCCACAGTAGTTTAAGGGAAACTTTCTCATCTTTCTAGACTAAGGGCAGAGAAAGTGTAATCTGAGTAGGCTATCATTTTACTTGAAGTCTTACTTATATTTTAGACTATAGCCATAAATGAGCCCACAAGACTACAGGAGGGTGTCCTGAATATGAGCTCAGGCTAACCTGCAAGTCAGAGACTGCAGTGAAGACAGAACATCAGACAGCTCAGGAAAGAGCTCAAAATGTTGACATGTTGGCTGGTGAGGAAATTAAGGACAGAAAAATAGGTATAAAACCATAGGAATTTTTGCTATATGAGGTGGCTATTTAGCAGATTGTGTGGGCTGTTGTACCTTATTTTCCCAAGTTGTTTGTACACCACTTATCAGGGGGTACTACTCAGATTTCATGTTTGGGGTTTTTTTTAAAGAAAGAGCTCAAAATGTTGACATGTTGGCTGGTGAGGAAATTAAGGACAGAAAAATAGGTATAAAACCATAGGAATTTTTGCTATATGAGGTGGCTATTTAGCAGATTGTGTGGGCTGTTGTACCTTATTTTCCCAAGTTGTTTGTACACCACTTATCAGGGGGTACTACTCAGATTTCATGTTTGGGGTTTTTTTTAAATTTATTTTATACTGACAAAGTTTCATTGATTTTTCACTGTGCGAGGGATAATGATTCTCAGAACTACTCCCTAAAATATGGCCCACTGTTGCAATATTACTGTTCAGATTGCTACTATGTAAAACTGACTGCTGCTAAGCAGTTCTGCATGCTGGTGCCATAAAAAAAAAAAAATCAGTGATCTGAAAAGTAGTCTGAAATTCAAAAACTGCTATCAGAGTTTTTGTATATGTTATAAAATATATTTCTACTATATTAATTAATCATCAAACGAATGAAATGGATCATATGCAGATAGAGCCTTGCAAGCAACTATTGTGTCTTCCTCTGGACTGGCCCATGTTGGACTTTTTTCAGTGCCAGAAAGACGTCAGCCTAGATAGCTAATAAACTGGGTGCCCAACATGTAGAAATATCAGCAATGTGAGATCACGTAAGACTACAAATGCATGTGAAGTATTAGTCAAAAAGAACAGGAAGAGTTGTATAATATTCAATTCTAGGTATTTACATATGTTTCCACACTATTCTTTCTGATCATGTAAATATGAGAGTGTCTCACAACACTTCTGTGAGGATAAATGTCACTAGAAGTAACAGCTGTGAAACACACCAGAAATGGTATACCAAGATCTCACAGAAAGTTTATGGCAAGAGTGAATTGGTGCAGACTTCAACATCTAAGATTTGAGACCTTAATACTATAGACCCCATCCTCTTAGTGTATTTCCAAACAATGAGAAAAACGGCTTGGCCCACCTTGGGCACAGGAGAAGAGGGCTTGAAACACAGAAATTACAAATAAAAATTGCATTTATAGAACAACCGGAACACTTAGGATTTGAGACCATGCTTGATTTTTCTTCTATATTCTTCCTAGTTAGTGTTGCAATTGTTTCTTCCAGTAGACTAAAATAAAAATCACAACCCCCAAAAATATCCTGTCGAGCAATAGCTATGAATTTATGAAATAAAGTAATAATTCCTATTCAGTTACACTCACACTAGCAAATGTAATGCTTTTTTTTCTGCACCTGAATTGGCAAAGTTGTAAATACTAAAGTAGGCAGAATATTTATACTACAATGTCATAAAGCCACTAGTGTCTCGGGAGGCTTATTAGTCTAACATATATGCTGTAGCGTGCAGAATTCTACACTCAAAGAGTTTCTAGAAGTTGCCTGAGGGGCAATAAGCTTTGTCTCTCTGAGATTGCCACTAAAGGGAATTTGCCCAACTAATTTTAGCCCAGTCAACATTTGAAAATTACAGATGAGGACCACAGGGAACAAATGGAATCCATTCAATTCACATCCATAAATTGCTCATTTGTTTTCCACTGGTATGGAAAAATTACAAGTGTTCTACTAAAACAACAGACTGAGCTCGCATAGATCAAGTTGGCACTGTGGCTGGCATTGGGCACATCATCTGATTACACTCTTCTTTCCAGTTTCCTTCTGGTCTGTACTTACACACCACGAGGTTTGAGTGTTGTCTGTCAGTTTGTGGGTCAGGACTTCTCATAGGCAAAGTTCCCCTTCAGGGATAAATAAGTTTATTGCACAATTTCAGGGCAAGAATTTTAGGCCAAAACTGATTTTGTTTTTATAAAACCTACAGAAAGCACAGTAGGAAGATAATTCAGTTAGAACCCCCCAGTATATCATCCTCTTCAAGCAAGCATGAATAAAAGTTTTCAGGACACTGTGTCTTACACTATCTCTGTGGATACACCCACATTTCCCTACCTATGCCAGACAAAGACCTAACCATGTAGTGCTTTGTCCTACCCAGGGCTAGAGATCTGACAAGCTTGCAGGACCCGTTGGTTACTGTAATAAAACAAGGAGAAGCCACATTCGCATTGTGTTTTCATCACACAGTTGGCTTGATGATCAGCAATTTTTCATTTTCTTTGCAGCCTTTACTGCAAGAATTAGGATCAGAATATTAAATGTCCAATGCATTCTGGGAAGTGTGAGACTGCAGTAAACCATACCAATCTGACACTTCCAGGTTCTGAAATGTGATTTACTTAGCTTATTGTCATTCATTCATAGTACTGTTAACATGGGAAGAACACATGTTAATATGGAGAAAACAGTTTCTGTTTCAAGTTACAAATGTAACATTCTTAGTGGATCCGAAGTCCATTGTAATTTTTACTACCTCGTGAGAAGACAGCTCTTTTAAGGTTGATACCGACAGCTAACCAGCTCACCGCAGGTTCTCTTTATTATTTTTAGATGATAATAGGCACTTTCCATCTGATCTCTTTTAAACATCCAGTCTGAAGATTTGTGCCCTAAGTGTTCTTTTCCTGTATGAGAGGCCTACAACAATAAATTCACATTCATGAACTTAGTGTAATGAATCATACATTTCCTACTATCATAGATTTTGCAGAAGATGTTATGAAACAAGAAGACTGGCCAAACCATGTCTTCACTAGAGCTAAAGATATCAAAAAGCAAAAATGTATGGCCCTAGACTGCATTTTTGCAACTGTTGGGGTGGTCCATTCTTTGCAAGAAAATTCCTCAGGACAGTCAGCAATGATGAAGCAAAACCTCCTGTAAAGAAACTGCAACTAGATTAGTGCCTGAGCCCTGTGCTGACCACCTCCAGCCCTTGGAACATTTTAAGTCACAAGTGGACTCAGAACCACATTCTGAAATTGTCTCATAGTTACTTTTAGTGGAGCTCCAGCTTTTTAAGTCTTCTTAAGACTGAGTCTTGAATTTACTCACATGATCTGATACCCAAATAAACTTGTAGCTGTCATTAAGGTAGTTAGACTTTATTATAAATTATGTACAGGATAAATGTTCATGCAAAATGTGTCAAGGAGTGATCATGATTCTGCAACATAAAGATCTCAACCTTCTCCAGTTACAAGATGTGTGGGTTTTGTTCACTGTGGGAATGCTAACCTCTGTACTTTGAATGAATAATAAAGTTACTGAATCAAAAGATAAGTCAATTCAGTCAGATATCTGCAAGTAGAAGGCAGATATTTGCAGTAAACTTAGAATCGTGATATTCTAAGAATTTGTTCATTAGAAATGCTTATAAAAATGTGTATGTTCTATGCTCATTTTGTTTCTTACTCAGATTAAAATTCTGCTGAAGCTGGTAAGTATTTTGCCTATGCTACATTAAATTCTGTGTTTCTCCCATGTTAAAATGAGCTCCATTAGCATGTACTGCTTGAAAATTAAATTGGTCAGTAAAGGGACTTGTAGAAAAAACAGGAGGAAACAAAAACAATGAAGGTGCTCAGACAACAAAAGGAAAGAAAATAGGATGAACTTTTAAAATGAACTACATGTTATATTCTGCCGAAATACTAAGGAGTCCCTTTTGGTGTTTTCTGTGGAAGCAGAACCCATTTTATTACTATTGCATATTACAAGTGTGGATTAAAAATATAGAAAGCACTGTTTAGTAGTACCAGCCCTGGTACTTAGCAAGACCTAATGAATTCATTCAGAAACCAGTCTAGAATAAGGACCCTGGCAATTTTCTTCCATGCTGAAGGTCAGAAATGTCATGCCTGTTCCATAAGAAAAAGATCCATATTTTGGAAAGAGTAGTATTGCCTATGAGAACTGAAAGCACTTCCCAGATCAAAGAGCTGCCTTGCACTTTGCCAGAATAAGCCATGAGGCTTTATCATCCTACAAAAACATTTCTTACATCCAGAACAGTGCGGTATCAGGATAGAAATATCGTTAATCTTATGAATAATGTTTGACAATTGATACCAAATACTGAAAGCAATAAGAAAAGGAGGCATTGCCTTTGTGCAGCTTACAGAAGCCACAAAATACCCTTGTTTTCTTAATCTTCCCTATAAACTACATATAAATGTAAGACAAGTAACAGGGCTGTGGTTGCACTCTTGATTTACTAACCAGTGGAAAGTCACAGTGCCATGCTACAACTAGCCAACTTACACAGCAAAGCTGCTTTCAAAAGCCAAGTAAAATACATTTCTGAACAAAAGATAATGAATTGTGGCAAAGGAGATTTTGTATTAGAAAGAAGAAGAAAATAACACTTGCACACTGTTCAGCTACATGCAGAAAATTAGTATGTCCTTAAGATGTATAATTATAGTTGTAATTACCATTTCCTTCAATGGTGGCTGGCTTTTCATGTTTAGGCATCGTGACTATATTTCACAGGGCTGCTCCAGCTGCTACCTGTATGAGAGACCGTCTGAAGGTTGAGTGGTTCAAGATGAAGTGTACCACATCAGCATCGTCCTGTCTGTCACTGAACGGATAGCGCTGGTGAAGTTTCACTGACTGAAATATAAGAAGATACTAATTTCCTAAGTGATTAATCTTTCATGAATGTTTAGTTTACTATTTAGGGTTGGCATGCTAGGGTCAAAAGAATGGAATAAGTTGTTCACCTTCTTTATTATTATTACTGAAAAAAGAAAAACTCTCCTGCAATGTACTTACTTATGACTGACAGTAATGTTGAAATGCTCAAGTGCCTTACTGAGCAAGGATGTTGCACATTGTCCACATGGGCACACTCTGATGCTGTATACAGGTCTACACTTCAGCATGTCGAGGATGTTACGTGGATTTTTATTTTCCTCATGAAAGACAACTTTTACCTTAGACATATTTAAATTGCATAGCTTTAACAGCCTGACACTGATTTAAAACATCTTAGCAAAAGGAGCTGGATGCTGGTATGTCTGCTGATTTATATTTGCACCTCCTTGCAGTTCTGTTAAGACTCCTTGCTTCTGCCTTTATGCCGATACTACTTCCTAAGTTTACCAGTTTTACGCTGATTCACCTTGTACCTACAACACCAGACAAGCTTAATGGTGAAACAAAGCAAAAATTTAATTAACAAGACAGGTCAGGCTTGGAAGTAAAAGATTCAAAACAACTTGCTACAAATAAAACGACAAGTTACAAATAAAACAACATAAAATGCAATTCTCGATCTGTACATAACTAGATAATTCCTTCATAGCTTCCCCAGTGTTCCTCATCTGGAATTCTTTCAGTGTGACCCAGCTTGAAAAAAAGGCTAAGTATCTGCAGAATACCCCACATTCCTTGGAGCTGTCATTCAGATGTCTGACGGAAGTTTATCTGGAAGTTTATCCAGTGATGCAGGCTACCTTACCTTTTCATTTTCAAATTTTAGCATTGGTGGTTTTTTGGAAATGCTGAAAATGTGAGTGTTGTTTGGACTGACTTGAAATTCACTTTACAGACAAAACACATCCAGGTGTTTAGTCCTATTTCTGTTAGAACATTAACACCCTGTGTTTCAAATATTCCCAGAGATTAAGTCTACATATACAATCATAAGAGGCCCTATGCCTTTGTCAATAAAACATGTTTTCTGAACTACTATTATTTCCTTTACTGCATTCTCATATTAGTCATTTTATAACATCCTAGCTCTTGTGCATTTATATACTTGGGAAAGACTTCTAATGCAAAAAAGAAATGCAAGAAAACATTCAAATCATCTCTGAAAATCCATAGTTAGACCCTGTCTAATAAACCCTGGTTGTAAGAACTCAGAAAAAGAATAATCATGTTCTAAAAATTCAGTTGGTAGACTTCTGTACTTCTTTAATAGAGAAACAGAAAATTTTTAACAGAAAGAAGAACATCTTGGGAGGAATGATGAGCATGGCATTCAAGTTAACAATTCTGCTAGTACTTGCAAAAAGAAGCAGTGAAAGCATTGTAATGAGATATTTTGCAGTTGCAGTTAAATCAGGACCATAGCCTTGATGGAACTGTACAAGTCTTCATCAGAAATTTAAATTAATAATAACTTACTTTCATTTATTAACCACATTGGAAAATATTTGACTGGATATATAAAAAGGAAAGGGACATACATTGAGGGCTGTTTTATTAATCTTATCAACAGAAATGATATTACATGAATATCAAAGATGCAAAGGCAGTATTAGAAAAGATAGATAAATAAAAGCATTAAGGTCATATATGTAGTCTGAATGTGGTCTCTGGGTGAACATTTGCTATGATATAGGTGGATTGCACACTCTATTTTATTTGTTTCTCAAGGTCTCCTGACACAGACCATGATCAGATTTAGTTAAATACTTTTACCACAGTGCAACTTTTTAGTGTAGACAAGCCAGATCCAGTCTGGTTTGTGGTTTACTTTTGTGGCTGCAGGACTTAACTGTCTCCATGAGTTCCACCACTTACTGCCCTCACCGCTGTACCACTAAAACTGTCTGTGGGGCTGCCCTGTAAACTGGGTCACTAATCAAAGCAAATAATAATTTTCTTAAGTCAGCTTAGTGCAGTCATCCCATCCACAGCACAGTCCCACAAACAATTGTATTAGCACAGAAGGGGGAGTCAAATTGTGACATGATGTGGGAAAGGGCAGCCAGGGTCAGGAGGCAGAAAGAGGGTGCAAATCTTTGAAGACAGACTTGCCACTGGAGATAACACAGCACAGAGCTACATCCTATGTTTCTGTTTACCCTTGGAGACCAAATACTAAGCAGAGATTGAGGACAAACTGTACCAGTTTAACTTCATAGCATCATACTGCTTCTCTAGCACAAAGATAAATGACTGCATAGAGAGCACGGACAGTTTTAATTCACACAAAATTCTCTTTACAGCACACCAGTCTTACAAAAAAAAAAGGCCTTTAATTTAATTTAGTTCTAATTAATAGCAATAAAATCAGAACAACACAGAGTGGTTTTAATATATAATAAATGATGAAAATGGCCCCAGTGCAGATGGGTTCAGAGAACTGGGCTCATTCATAAATGAGTTTGTTGAACACTGCAAATATTTCTGTTGTTAGCAAATATGCCACATTTTTATTTCTTTGTTCAAATCTGTATCTCCTTGTCAGAGACAATTACTACATATTCAAAGTGCTGAAACACGCGTGGTACACAAAAGATGAGGATAGAAATACACAATTACCCCTTTACCACAGCAGAAACTCATGGAAAAACCTGTAATGAAGAAGTGGAAAGTATTGGTCCACATACCCTTCCTCATACCACTAAACTGATGACCCAATTGATAGCCATCTGCCAACCAGAAAAATCCATCTAAGGGAAATACAGATGACACCAAAGAATGGTGACATAACTATGTTTGGTGCAAACATTAGTGCCTCAGTAAATCTGCAAGCATCAGTTTTGCTTGTAATCAGCATGTAAGTTACCGCGCCACAACCTATTCACAAAGAAATAACCACTGTAATTTCTTTCCTGCCACTTCTGCACATCAGCTGTGAACCCTTTCTACCACAATGAAATACCCCAAAAGTTGATTTTTCCATGTTTCAAGGTGCATTTTCCATACTGCAAAACTTAGGGCAATAAATGATTTTCTGTCAGATTTTGTTGCTAAAGGTGACTCTTTTCAGGATGGGATTTCAAAATGTCATTTTGTTTTGAGGCACTTCCCTAACCTGCTGCATCCAAATGAGTCAGATGAGCCTGAAGAGCATTAACAGGTAAGTCTGTGCCTACCATCCTCATTATCCCACATCTTTTCACAGCTCAGTACATGATTATACTGATCATGTCTGGGAGCAGCGGGAGGCTGCACGAGGAGGGGGCCGAGCTGGGATGGGGGTCAAAACGAGGGGCACCATCCTGCAGCATTGCAAGCAGAGCAGGGTGGTGAGAGTGGCACTGGGGAGACCCTGGCAAGGGTGGCCAGGCATAGTCAGATAACAAATCAGATTGATTAATTTCAGGCAAGAAAATTTCAAAAGCCAGCTCGCATCCTTTTCAAATATTAGCTCCCAAATCAACATGTTCAGCACTTGAACACTGATTAGGGAATGCTGTGTAACAGAAATACAAGTAACCTTGTTCTGATGCCACACTGGTATTCACAGAGAAAACAACTACAGTTTAAATCTACTTGCAGACAAAACCTTATTTGGGTAGAGGTCTCTGAGCAGCTTATGATAAGGAAATCTGACAGCTAAGTCAAAAAACTACACAAAATTCCAACAGACTTCTGCAATTATTGTTTCTGAAGCCATTTGTAGCTTTTCTGACATTTCTGAAATACTGTATTTCAAGTTTCTCTGAAAAACTGAAAGTGAAGCCAAAAGTACAGCAGGATGTATTTTTCATTATACTCAGGTGTTTTCCACTGTTCTGGTAGACGTGGTCACCAGGTTCAGAGGAAAAACATCAGAAGTCTCATGAAGAACCTATTTTTTTTTTCTAGTCAATTAATGTGGATCACAAGAAATTAGGATGATATATGTGATTTAGCAGAATTTATCCAAATTGCTCTTGATCACTGAATCTATCCTGCTCCATCATTAATCAGAACATTTTATTAAAAGCTCAAAACCAGCTTTAAATTCCTAAACATTCATTAAAATTATGCCAAATTAATTTTTTATTAGAACGGGAAATACTTAGCAGTGTTTCTACATATCCATACGCTCTGTTCTTTAGACCATTTCTGAAAATTTGCAGCCGCAAGCATTTGGGAAGTTCAAGTGACGATAGGTGTATATATATTTCCTCTAATGATAATGCTACTTAGAATTAGATAATTCTACTTAGAACCATATTCTTGTCTTTATGCTAGCCAAAATGAATGGCTGACTGAATGGTCGTTAATACAGCTGCTTTCTTTAATAACAACCAATATCACACACTGCTGGCTATATCTGCCTGCTTGCAGCACCTGCTATGCTGATGAATGGGCACACTGCTCAGATAATTGCATTTGCTGCTTAGCTGTGGCTGCACGCAATGGAGCGACTCCAGATTTACTTCTTGGCGCAAGCCTTTATTGCTTATTTGTTCTAAAATGACATTTTAAAAAAACCACTAATTGTTACATGTCTTGAAGTACTTATTTGTATAGTAAGTGCAGCTGGAGCAGCCAAAAAGGGGTGAACAGAGGTCTTAGCCTGCACAGACTGGTTGAGGCAGGATGTACTTGGGAGCACTAAAATCCTGAGACTTTATGACTCCACAGTCATCAATGACCCATGTAAATGACATATCAGGTCCTCCTAAGTACCATGTCCATTTTAGTGTACTGTACTACACCAGATAGCACTTGCACAAGTCATTATCACTCAGTGAACACAACATTCATCAGTGACTACGTTCCACTCCAAGGTTTCATTG